CCCAGTTTTCCTATGATTTCCCTACCGAATATTTAGAGAGAGTGAAGACCATGCACCAGACAGGAGGACATGGATCAATAGGGTAGGAACTGCTTGTGTGTGTGCTGTATTTCCTGTAGTGTGTTCATTCATTGACACTCAGCCTCAGTGACATATTTTATGGCTCAAAATTTTCCAAATATATGTATACTCTTTCCAATTATTACAAATACAGTAGGCAATTTGCCAAATTTTTCCTCCTCCTACATGTATATAACCTGCTACACGTACTGTACATACGTTCCAAAAAAATAATAATAATCCGAAGACGTTCCCAAGCTCTCACAAAAAAAATTGGAAAATATTTCCAAGCTTTAGGAAAAAAATCAGAAATCGGAGCCTGTACAATTCATATTAATGGCAATGCAACAATGTACACATACATGTAGTATCTTTCTATTTATCTTTTCTTTCTCACTTTCCTTTTCTAATAATAGTTATCAATATGACTGGAAGTTAGAGGATGCTCAGAAGAACATTCTCTGGACTCACACTACTGCTGTTAGCACAAGAATGCTCTACAAACTTGGATAGCAAGTGGGTGTGGTTCATTCTCTTGAAAATTAATGATTTTATGAGCTACTAGTAAAAGCTGATTATAATAATTTTCATGATTTATCAGCTAATGATGAGTAGCAATATCAACCACTTAATATTATAACAGCAGGTGTGACTTTTATCACCTACTGTGTCGGAATAAAGTGAAAAATGTTTTGTTTTTGACATGTGACTAATTTTACCAATTTTTTCTTGAGCTTTATAGATTTTATCCTTTACCCGTTTAATTTTGTAGAAGGAGTTCACTCCTGTCAAATGTTTTTCGTAATAAGACACTGACACAACTCACCTGACCAAGTTCCATCAGATGGAGGGTGTGGTCGCTGATTATAATTTAACCCTTGGAGATCTGATTGGAGTCCTGTATGCTTTTATTAGTAAAATGGGTAAGTATTGATAATACATTTACATGTAACTAAATACTACATGTGCATGTGCATGTATGCCGTATGATACATTTGCAACCACTTGTTAAGCTTTCTGATTGGTCAATTGAAATGTGGTATCACTGGTATGATCTACATCTGTATCATATAGGGGAAATTTTGGGGGGGAATTAAGTTTGGAAAATTTGGTGTTTTGATAGCCATTTGCCAAAATAACAATTTGCCATTTTTAGCCATTATGTGCATGCTCAATGGCACGTGGCCACAATATAAAATTCACCAATTACCAAAATTTAGCAATTCACCAAATTTAACTTCCTCTAAAATTTCCCGCTATACAGTACACATGTACATGTACATGAGCAACCATCTGCTGTTACATGTTATTTATGTGTGTTCTCATGCCACATCCATAAACAAACGAAATATTTACTAATTAGTGTACTACACTTTACATGGGAACAGATGTGTAGTATAGTAAATTTTGAGTAAATATTAATTTATTATTGCTTAATTTGACATTCATTATTACATGTATTTATTAATTTGTGGATGGGCACTGTTTGGTTCATTGAGTAATGGACAATCAATCCGTTATACGTGTAAGTAGTCCTACATGTACATGTATGTAATAAAATTTTTTGGAAATCATTATTTTTTTGTTGTTTATTAATTTGTTATTTATTGTAGTGAGCTTGATCAATCTCCACATGTACATGTATATACATGTACATGTATGTACGTCTCCAGTCATGCCCATCTTCTGGTCATGCCTCATGTATGCACTATTATCTATTTATTTGTGAATGATATAATGTGGTACATGTGTAGCTGTATTCTAATAAAATATTGTAAAACACGTGTGAACTATGAAGCAAGAAGAAAGCTCCAAGCTCAACGTCAACAAGCTAGCTGGATTGAAAAGGACGCTCTTCTTTTTGTCCAGAGGGCTATGATGATGTTCCAGATTCAAAATTTAACTACATGTAGAAAACTGAACAGCCAAGCTTGCAGCAGAGTCAGTGCACAACCACAACTGGCTTGAGCTCACCCATTAATGGATTACATAAAGCTAGTTATTTATAAATTTGGGGATGGTCCATTAAGTATACAAATTGATTTTGGCAAAGAATGAATGACATGCACTATTGTCTATATAAAGTGTGGTTGGAAACTACATGTAAGTTCCTTAAAATTAAATTTGCTGTTAGCAATGGAAGGCAACTTTACTTTTACTGGTGATTTCAACACTCCAGCAGTAGCAGCAGTTTTTACTGTTGAGATGATACTAGCTCTGATAGCTAATGGTGTGGTACTATCTATCACACTCTATCAAAGGAAGTCCTGGAAACAATCATCAACAATATTCTTCACTTCTCTCATACTAGCACATCTTGTACTGAATCTACTGTGCCTTCCTTTCACTATCATTGCATTAGCTGCTGGTGAGTGGATCTTTGGTAGTACAGATGAGGAGAAAAGATGGACATGTATTTTTTCTGCCTTTATACTCTGGTTTGGAGCTTATGTAATCACCATAACACTAGCTGCTATATCATTTGATCGGTTTCTCTTTATTGTCAAACCACATCTTCACAAGCGGTTCATGAGACCCTGGGTAGCACTGACCCTCACCATTGCTATATGGACACTGTCTGTTTCTGTATTTGGTTCCTTGCAATTCATTGGTATTGGACACTATAGCTATGATGATGAATTAGGTTATTGTACTCTGATTGATGTTGACGTTGCCTCCTTCGTTGTAATTCTTGTTATAATCTTCCTCGTTGTTGTGACAATATTCATCACTTCTCTTTGGACCTTTTGTTTCACTAGAAGCTTCTTCAAGGATCAGTCAGTGATAGCAGGAGAGAGTGTGTATGCCTCAAAGAAGAAGAGACTCTTTGGAATATTTGGAAGCATGCTACTCATCTATGGGACATCTTATTTATTTTTAGCTTTAGGCTTCATTCTACAGGCCTTAATTTTTCTACCATATGAGCTTTATATTACATACTACATTGTATTTTGCTTTGTTACAATAGCCAGTCCTATTATCCAGTCATACTTCAGGCCTGAGATCAAGAGTGTTCTAGTCTCACGCTGTCCTCTTCTCTTTACTTGTGTTTGCTGTTCATGTGTACATGCTGTTTGCTGATCTTAAAGGGATTTTTTAGGGTATTTATTTTATGGTCTTAATATGATTGCCTGAGTATAATAATGATGTGTTCCAACTCCCATTGTCTAAATAAAAAAATTATTTAGTGAGATATGAGCCTTCAAAAATACACTTTTTGCTTCCTGCTAATTTACTTCCTGTTGGTGGGTGTGGCTAAATGTGACATCATAAGAGCATAGATAATAGAGTAAATGAAAGGGATTGGAAACGGAAGCGTGGGCGTAGCCCAACCTCCATTCATTTGTATTGCTGCTAGGCTGACAGAGGCTCGTTGAAATTTTTTGTCACAATTTACCCTTGATTTTCTTTCTTTTAGGAGCAATATCTCGCAAACAAGTGTTCCTATGCAAGTGAAATTAATGCATCAAGAAGCCTAATGTTTCCTCTTTATAATTCTGTTTTCTATTGTACTGATAATTTAACAATGTTAATGTTATGGCACTTTTAAAACCATAAAATGTATTTTTTGTCATTATAATCCCTTTTTTGAAAACAAGCTAGAGTAAAATGCAATATCTTTATAATCATATGAAAGAGTTTCCATTTGCATATCGAATGATACTAGTTAAGGTTAGAATCCACGAAGCATGAGTTTGTTACTACAGAAAAAGGGCGAAAAATGAAAAAATTTTGTTGTACCTATAACTCGTTGCAAAATAACGTTGTAGAAGTAAAAACCTTGCTGCAGGTAGTCCTAAACTTTCTATATCGAACGGTAGGTATATCATAAGTAAGCGTCCTCTTGGATCTCCATAAATATCCTTCGAAGTCCTTGCAGTACAGCCTCACTAATGGTGGAGATGGGAAATCAACCAGGTATTGGGCCGGTAACCAATAGCAACATCAACCAGCCTACGCCCCCGTTTCCAATCCCTGTGTACTCTAATATCTATGATAAGAGGCCTAGATGCAGACATAGATATTAGAGACTATGTAACTGGGATAGGAAACTGGCTCACATGATCCATTCAAACCAGCATCAACTGCCCAGCCAACAACTGTCATTGGATTTTGTTGGGTGTGGTCAAAAAATGGCTACTCATCGATGACATTCAAAGGAAGATTTTATTTAAACCAATGTTGATTTCTTGTTATTTTAATAATATTTCAATACTTCAGTGTTTGTGTGACATGACTATAATGAAAAAATACTGATACCATTGTTATTTTGTAAATATACAGTGATATTGTTCAAATTTGTGTTAGTTGCAACTTGCAAATTTGCAAAGCTTTATGCACCTGTTGCTCCATGACATGGGCAAAAATGGACTAAAAAGATCATTGAAAATGTTGCCACAATCCCCTATAGTTTAAGTTACTGATTTGATATATTAGAAGAATAATATATAAAATACTGTTTTTGCGAACAGTCCACTGTCGTAACCTGTTACAGCTTTTACACAACAAGCAGAGGTTTCTACTTTTGAATGAAGATAGTTTGATGTTTTGTCCATGGAATTGGGGGGTTAGCATTTAAGTTCATGCATTTGACTACAGTACTGCTTAATAACCAAAAATTCATTAATTTCGCATAAAAAGCAAGTCACATGGTCAAATTTATTCTATTTAATGCCCAATCCAATCACGAACATTGTCCACTGGGGGAATCCTAGTTTCCTATCCTGGTTTAGGGCTGGTTACGTAGTCTATAATATCTATGATGCAGATAACTCAATTCCTTTATAGACCACCCAGAGTGAGGATTGCAAAAGCTATGAATTTCATTAATTTTTATATACAGTATCTGCCCACACGTCATAAATGGCTGCCATTTTGGTTGGCAAGTTTGTTAAGGAAGTCAATGGAGGCACAAAGAAAATGCCTCATTTACCTGCTGTAGCTCTATCAAAAGCTAAAAAGTGCTTGTTATGTTAAGCCCAACATACACTATGCAACATTTTGTTTGCAACAAATGTTGCATAGTGTGTGTTGGGCTTTATATGAAAGAATAGCTGCCTTTGAGCTTCCCCTGTAAAAGATTTGATCGAATTCGCTCCAGAAATCTTAATGCAGGTTTGTTCTCCATTGAAAGTTGCCAATCAAAATGGTGGCTGGAATTTATCTCATTCTAAACCACACCTTACAACCGTAATAGTCTTCCCACGCAAGCAATTCTCACTCTGGGTGGTCTATAGAGAAAATGATCCTTTATTGTCATGCCTATAGTAATGTAATAGCACTAATTTTAAGATTGGAATCATTAGCTTTCATTATTCTAAGCATGAACTGCTAGAAAAAGTCCGTAATACCACACTGGTGAATCTTCTTGTCTGCTATTTTGAGTCTTTTTCTTGCAGTTGCATGCTTAGAATAATGAAAGCTAATGATCCCAATCTTTGAATTAGTGCTATTACATTACATGAGAATAAAGGATCATTTCCTCTTATAAAGGAATAGAGCTATCTGCATCTATGCCTCTTATGACATCACATTTAGCCACACCCACTGACAGGAAGTAAATTGGCAGGAAGCAAAAACATTTTGAAGGCTCATATCTCAGTGAATAATTTTTTTGGACAGTGGGAGTTGGAACACATCATTATAGTCAAGCAATCATATTAAGACCATGAAATAAATACGCAAAAAATCACTGCAGTTCATTCCTGGCTTTAATGTATAGATGTATATGAGCTGTTTCACTTTTACATACTCTCTCTCTCTTTGTAATAGTAAATGATACATGTATTACCACTTGTTGAGTATTCTGATTCGTCAATTGAATACATGTACATGTACATGAGTAAACATCTGCTGTTACATAGTTTGTTCTCATGCCACGCCAATAACCAAACAAACTAGCTACTAAGTATACTGCATTTTACATTGGAGACAGATGTGTGATGTGCATGTAGTAAATTTATGAGTAATTATTACATAATTTGTGTTTGATTATTATTAATTTGTGGATGGGCACTGTTTTGTCCATTGAACAATGGACAATAAATCCAGTAAAGGTAGTCTTATACATTAACATGTGTGTGCTTGTGTATTGGTAGTATTGCTAAGTGTTAGCTAGTATTCCACATATTTTGATATAAATTGATTTTAGCAAGGAAAGAATGACGTGTACTATTGTCTTAGATATAAAGTGTGGTTGGAAACTACATGTACATGTAAGTTGCTTTAAATTAAATTTTTGGTTGGCAATGGAAGGCAATTTTTCTTATGTTGGTGATTTCAATGCTCCAGCAGTAGCAGCAGTTCTTACTGTTGAGATGATACTAGCTCTGATAGCTAATGGTGTGGTACTATCTATCACACTCTATCAAAGGAAGTCCTGGAAACAATCATCAACAATATTCTTCACTTCTCTCATACTGGCACATCTTGTATTGAATCTACTGTACCTTCCTTTCACTATCATCGCATTAGCTGCTGGTGAGTGGATCTTTGGTAGTACAGATGAGGAGAAGAGAGGTTTCTGTTCATTTAATGCCTATACACTTTCATACAGTGGTTTTGTTATCTCAATGACACTAGCTGCTGTATCATTTGATCTGTTTCTCTTTATTGTCAAACCACATCTTCACAAGCGGTTCATGAGACCCCGCTGGGTAGCACTGACCCTTGTTATTGCTATCTGGATACTGTCTGCTGTATTAGGTGCTGGGCCATTCCTTGATATTGGACACTACAGCTATGATGATAAATCAGGTTTTTGTTCTCTAATTGGTTTTGATTTTGCAGCCTTTGTTGTAATTCTTGTTATAATCTCCCTTGTTGTTGGAACAATATTTGTCACTTCTCTTTGGACCTTTTGTTTCACTAGAAGCTTCTTCAAAGCTCAGTCAGTGATAGCAGGAGAGAGTGTGTATGCCTCAAAAAAGAAGAGACTCATTGGAATTTTTGGAAGCATGCTACTCATCTATGGGACATGTTCTTTATTTGTAGCTTCAGGCTACCTTCTGCAGTTCTTTATTTTTCCACCATATGAAATTTATGTGACAGGCTACATTGTTTCTTACTTTGTTACTGTAGCCAGTCCTATTATCCAGTCATACTTCAGGCCTGAGATCAAGAGTGTTCTAGTCTCATGCTGTCCTCTTCTCTTTACTTGTGTTTGCTGTTCATTTGTACATGCTGTTTGCTGATTGCAATTATTACCAAGCGCTAGCGCTTGGTATGTAGGGTTGAGTTGGACGAGCGCGCCCCCAAAATGGCTGCCATCCCAGAAGCATTGAGCCCTTGTAATATCTTTAGAAACTCTTTGTGGCTTATCTGACAGTCCAAATGTCCTTTATAATTTCATCAAAACATTTCAGTGTTATCAAAAGTAGTAAAAAACTTCCATAAGATAGTTTTACGGCAAATGAATGCATGCATGCCTGCATGCACCAAATGTTCAGGTTTCTCCTTCTTCTTCTTCTTCCACAGTTAAGTAAGAACTAGTCCTACAGTTTTTATCCTAGAAATATGATTTTTGCACCATTGTGCTGCGTTTCAGGGACGCTAGTGCAGTGTGGCTTGGCAT